TTTGTTCGGGACGAACAAAGGTTTTAGTGTGGGGGAGTTATTTGTCCCATTTTTTTTGCATTTTTCCTCATTATTTTTCATTTCTTTTTCCCCCGTTTTAGGTCTTTTCGTCAGTTTTTATTCGCTTTTATAGGTTTTTGCGTGTTTCCTTTATGTTGGTCTTTTCTGTATTTTTTCGGTCGTTTCTCGGTTTTCTCCGCTTTTGTGTTCGTTTGTGGTGTGCAGGTCAGGTGCCTTGTCTACTGTATTTGAAGGAGGAGAATGTTTTGGGCTAACTTAATTTGTAGGGCGTTTCGTTAGCAACACAGGAAAAATCGAAATCAAATTCTGATATCACACGAGCTCGAACGGGCCCGAAACGTTAAGACAGGTAAGCTGCCCGGACCCGCCGCGCCAGGCCCTCGCGCCGCGATGCCTGTCACGGGCCTTCAGAAGTTACCTGCTTTCTCTCCACGCTGCGGCACGTCTCACGCCGCGCGACCTGCCTCCCGCCACGCTGCGGTACACAACGCGCCACACCTCACGCCTGGACAGAGTCTCCCAGCACACCAGCTCACCGCGCCGCTACACTCCCTCGCGCCGCGACACACCAGCTCACCGCGTCGCGACTAAGCCTCACGCCGCGCCCATGGCCAGTCCCGCGCTGCGGCAGTACCTCCACGCCGCGACAACGGCCCTCTCCACGCCGCGCACAGATTTCTCGCGCCGTGACCCACCTTTCTATATAAATGTGTGTACGAATTCGACCAGAGGGGCATCTCTCATTCGACGAACACAGAAAACCCTTCCCTTCTTATTTTCTTTCGCTCTTTTCATTTTTCTTCATCGTTTTCAACGTAGTAAGGATTTAAGCTCGGATTTCATTATTGCTTCCGAATTTCAAGCTTGTTTATCGAATTCAACGTTGGGATTTATCAATCGTAAGATTTCCTTTTGATTTAATCGTTAAATATGAGTTCTTGGGTTGTAATTGCTTGTGTTGATTATTCGATTATGAGTAGCTATCTTTATGCTAGGAATAGGGGATTGATGTTTTGAATTCGTTTGCAATTATCATATGCGTGATTGTTCAATTTGTACGAGTTGATCTTTTGCTAGGGTTTTTCAATTGTCGGGCTCGAATATTGAGAATTGTTGAAGGGTGACACTTCAATCCCCAATTGTTTGCAATTGAGTTCGATATATTCTTACTTGATGTTGGTTATTCTAAACGGACTAGTTGATTAAACACCTCCTAGTCTACGTTAATCGACTCTTAGAACCGAAAGGGGAGGGGTCGGTCGAAATAGGCTCGTATGAACTAGGCTTATTCGTAACTGTATTGCCTAGAAGTTAAATGAATTGTTAATTTTTCGTTCTAGTTTGTTATCTTGTTACGAAAAGTTATTGAGAATGAGTGCTTGAACGTGTCGATTAGTCAAACCACTTAACCGAACAATCTCTTACTTGATAATTGCATTTCCGAACCAAAACGGATATCCCCGACTTCCTAGCTTCTTAAATCCTTATTGTTTTTAGTTGTTGCTTGCTATTTCTATTTGCTTTACTTGAAATTTTTCTTCGTAGTTAATAATCGAACCAAATCATCTGAATTAGAATGTTTAGGAATTTTATTTTCTTTTGTGTGGTTGAATAAACGTGCATAATAATCCGGCTAACCTTCCTTGAGAAACACGACCCAGTGTTCGAATCTTTTGATTCTACTCCGGAAAAATATTTACAACATGGGATATACATTTTCTTTGCTTTCTAGTTTCTAGTTTGGACTTGAGCTTATAAGTTCAGTTTGGATTGGGCCTATAATATTACTTTTTGGACTAATTGGTAATTCTACAAACTGTGAAGGATTTGTACTCAAAGGCTCAAATTATATGGTTTTGGCCTCTCCCAAGGTGGTAAATAAATTATATGCATATGCTAAAAATTTCTTCTTGTGTCTGCAATAACTTTAGTTTAATAAATTGTTCAATATGAAACTTAATTTAGAAAATTACATTAATTTCATAAAAAAAATCAAATAAATTTTGAGAATTCGACTTTGGAGTCCAGAATTGATCAAAACCAAAAGCTCAAAACTGGAAATAATAAAAACACTTAAAATCTTATTTAAAAATTAAAATACAAATTTATTCTCTATTATGTAACTTAAATATTTTTTAAAATATAAATAATCAAATAAAAGTAAGTTATCAACATTATCCTTGTGTTTTCCATGTGGGATATTAATTTTCTTTTCTTTGCTTTCTAGTTTGGACTTGGACTTATAAGTTCAGTTTGGACTTGGGCCTATAATATTACTTTGGGCTAATTGGTAACTCTGTGAAGGACTTATAATCAAAGACCCAATTTATATGGTTTTGGTCTCTCCCAGGGTGGTAATTAAATTTTATGTATGTGCTAAAAATTTCTTCTTGTGTGTGCAATAATTTTAGCTTACTAAATTGTGCAATACGAGGCTTAATTTAGAAAATTACTTTAATTATATAAAAAAATCAAATTAATTTCGAGGATTCGACTTTGAAGTCCAAAATTCATCAAAACCAAAAGCAGAACTGAAAATAATAATAAAAAAAAACTTAAAATCTGATTTAAAAATTAAAATACAAATTTATTCTCTATTATGTAACTTAAATATATATTAAAATACAAACAATAAAGTAAAAGTAATTTATCAACACTATTCCACATTGTCAGTCATATCTATTAGTGGACTCTTATTTAGAGAAATGTCATTATACACTATAATATTTTTGATAAAATATATACAATTATATATTATACATATAAAATAAATAAAAAAAATTACATATTAATTAAACCAATTCGACCACTGATCCGACCAGTAAACTATTAAATCGGTAGTTTCACCGATTTGATGACCGGTTCGGTTTTCCAAAACTTTGTATAAAAGTAACCCAAATGTGTGGAAAAACGAAAAGGATTGCAGTTAATATTTTGGGGAAATTTATATATAAAAAACAAAAAAAACACAAGTGGACACAAATAAAAGCAAAAAAAAAAATCTGGACCAAAATCAAAAACACGTATTCTGAGAATACGTTTTCTTTACAAATTGTCATTGAAAAACGTATTCTCAGAATACGTGTTTCAATGAAAAACGTATTATGCAAATACGTTTTTCAATTAAAATTACAAAAAAAACGTATTTTCAGAATACGTGCTTTTTATTTATTTCCACAAGATTTTTTTTTGTTTTGTTCTTGTCCACTTCATTTTTTGTTTTTTTTTAAAGTAAAAAAATCTAATATTTTGGCTATAATTATAATTATATATAGATTAGTAATAAAATCTCTCCATTAATGCCACATATATAAAACATGTACCATTATTTTCATTATTTGGCCACCAAAAAAGGCATAACTGAAAGTCTGAAAGATGGTACAACAGAGTT